AAACCCATCCCCACTGCAAACCCATCCCCACTGCAAACCCATCCCCAGGCTCTCCATCTCCACTGCAAACCCATCCCCAGGCTCTCCATCCCCACAGCCACCCAGCCCCGGGCTCTCCGTTGGCAATTTTGGCAGAGATGCCAAAGCCAGCCTGGCCACACACTGCCAGGCTCCTGCTGGCCACAGAGTTGGCCCAGCCCTGCACCCCCAGCACTGCCCTGCTGGGCCTTGGCAGCTGCAGGAAGGGGGTCACCCTTCCAGCTGGAGCCAGGGGGGAAACTGAGTCACAGCCTGGGGACACCACAAGGCTCAGGGAGAAGCATCTGCACCAACACACATGGGAGGCCACGGCCAGGGGCTCCACAGGTGCCCTGCAAGGCTGTGGATACATCCCAGGATCCTCCAGGAGCTGCCATAATCCTGCCTGGGCTGGGGCTGTTTGCTGGGGGCACAGCAGATGCCCTGGGGAGGGAGGGAGGGAGGGTGGCAGGGCTGTGCCGGGCTCCATTTCGGCTCCATTTCGGCTCCCTCCCTGCTTCCCACCTGTTCCCCCCCAGCCCTGACCTGGAGCAGGTTGCAGCCCCTGCCCCGTGCCCGCAGCAGCTTGTGAGCAGGTGGCTGCACTGATTCTCCTGAAAACAAAACCATTCCATCGGCACAGGCGGCTCGGGAGCCTCCCGCCCGTCCTCCTGCCCGGACAAAGGCTCGAGGAACCCCCCCAGCCCAGCCCAGCCCTGCCAGGGGACTGTAACCGACCCTGCAGCAGGAGGAGACATCAAAGGGGGCCCTGGCAGAGGGAAAGCTCCCCATTGCTGCAGCAGGAGCGACCTGGGGAGCCCAACAGGATCCTCCTTCCCTTCTCCAAGGGCAGTGCAGGGCCTGGCAGATGCCCCCCTTCCCTCCCAGCCCTGGGCACCTGCAACCAGACACCGCAGAGGGGAGCAGATGCCGAGCCCGGAGCCTCCCTCTGCCCCTTCCCACCCCGTCAACCCGATCCTGCCAACACCTGCCCGTGCAGGGAACAGACGCTGCCCTTTGTGTGGCATTTCAAAGGCTGCCCAGCCCACCCTGCCCTGCCCAGGCAGGAGCCACTGTGGCCACGGGGCTGCCGGAGGCGGCTGTTTTAGGGACGCTCCCTCTTCCCCTGGCTCTCCTCAGACCAGGGTCAGCACCATCATCAACAGCCCAGTTGCAAAGACTCACAGACCAGTTTGGGTTGGAAGGGTCCTCTGGAGTCCACCCAGTCCCACCCCCCTGCCAAGGCAGGGTCACCTGGAGCAGGTGACACAGGGACGTGTCCGGGTGGGTTTGGGACGTTTCCAGAGAGTTAGACTGCACACCTCCCCCCTCCCAGTGCTCTGCCACCCTCCACGGAAAAGTTCTTCCTCTCAAGAAGGAGCGGCAGGAGAGGGAGGGCTCCCAGCAGCTGCAGCAGGGAGTTCCCTGTGCCCACTCACCACGTCGGTGCCCGTGATCCCGGCCAGCAGCTCCGTCATGGCCTCGTCGCTCACGGAGAAGCTCAGCCCGTGGATGGCGGCCCCGATGCTGCCCGTGGCGATCATGGACGGGGGGTACATC